CTTTTATTTAAGAAATAATTGGGTTGAACTTAACAGCGGTATAACATTACAGTCAAGTAGTGCCAAATTAGATACAATCAATAAAGCGGGTGATAATGATATGGTGTTTAAAAGAAATGATATTGATTTTATGGCATTTTCACAGGCAACAGGAAAAATATTTTTACAAAAAGACACTGAAATTCAAGGTGATGTTAATTTTGTTGCTGGTAAAACATTCCAAGTTGATAATATCAATACCGTAGGCAATAATGATTTAGCATTACAAAGAAATGGAGTTGAATTTATGAAATTCGGTCAAGTATCAAATAAAATTGAATGTGATAAAACATTGTTAATAGCAGGAGGGTTAGGTAAAACAGACATATATGAAAGTCTTGAAACAGGAGACACTAATAACATTTTACGAATTTGGAATAGGGAAACTACTAAAAATCCTATTACAATATTTGGCTTAGGTGCTAATAGCAATATATTTTCACTTTACACAGATAAAGTTATAGCAAAGCAACCCATCAATTGTAATACCATAAATACCGATGGTAATAGTGATTTGATTTTTAAAAGAAATTCAAATACCTATATGACTTTCAATCAAGCAGACGACAGAATAGAATTAGAAAAATCATTAAAACTACCACTAAATCCATCAAGGTTAGAATTTACCAGTTGTTATATGAGAGAGAGCATAGCATCCAATTCATTGTTTGATTTTGTCCAAGAAAATAGCGATGGTGTTATACGATTTTTTGTTGGAGACCTTCTAAATACAAATATGCCATTGTATTTAAATTCAAGCGTCGTTAGAATTGGTGAAAACCATACACTATTAACTAATGCAATGAATACAGTTGGAGATGTTGATTTGATTTTTCAAAGAAATTCAGTTGAATATATGAGATTTATTAACACTGCCAATATTGATAATGTTGATGTTGTATCAATTCCTACCGGCAAGGGTATAAGTGCTGAATATTCTTATGCTAATTTTTTCAGGTCAAGGAGTGTGGATACTGATTTAGTCTTTCACGGTGGTAATGTAGCAGGAAATAATAGAGTTGAATTTATGAGATACAATAGAACAGGTGAAAGTTTGGACTTAAATTGTGCCCTAGATAATACAGGGAAAAGTATAGTAGGAAATTTGGTAGATACATCTATTTCTGATGAGAAACTTAAAAAGAACATTGAAGATGTTGATGTTGATGTTTCTGATATTGTTAAAAAAATAAATGTGAAATCTTTTGAATACAAAAATGAAAAATTTGGGGTTGGGAAACAGATAGGGTTTTTAGCAAATCAACTATTAGATGAACTTCCAGAAGTATTCAGTAAAAATATTATTGGTAAGGATAGGGAAGATAATTTGAATATGAATTATATTAAGATAAATGTTTTGTTGTGGAAAGCACTTCAAGAAGAAATCCATAGAAGAGAACAGATTGAAAGTAAATTATTTGAGATGATGAATGACATTGAGGAGTTGAAGAAAAACAAACCTAAACCTAAAGCAAAAAGTAAAAGCAAAAATTAAAAATATAAATAATGATATATAGATGGGAAATAAACAGAGTTCGGTTGAGAATAGTTGCATTGAACAATTAAGTAATATTGATGAAAATGATTTAGACATCAGTAATATAGACAAACTTCAAATAAAGGCGATAAAAGAAATAAACAATAAAATTGAAAAATTGAATAAGGAAAAGCAAACAAAAATGATATATGCTTTGCCAAAAATAGATGTCTGTAATTACAGTCTCTTCTAACTTAATAATATTATATTGAAATAATATTATCAATTTTCATTGAGGGATTGTAGGTATTGTTGGTGTTTGGTGCTTCTTTCGTGTCTCAATTTATGTTGTTTTGTAAAAGTTGTCCCACATTCACAACTGATTTTTAATGATTGTTTTAGTCTGTTTTTTTCATAGTTTTTGGCATTATACTCTCTTTGTTTCCTTAGTATTTCATGTTTGTTATTTTCATACCTGTTTTTCCTATATTGTTTTAAACGCCCTTCATTTTCTTTATCATATTCTTTCATTCTTTGATATATCTTATCTTTATTGTCATTCCACCATTGGTTAAAGTCATCTTCGGTTCTGAACGGTTTTCTATTGTTTAGTTTCGCTTGGAGTTCTTCTATGTATTCTCTTTCCTTCTTTAAAGCATCCAAACTATTTTCACAATGTAAAGTATCTATCAAAATCATTTGCCAGTTGTCCCAGTTTCCATTATCACGAATAAACTGATATAGTGGGACATTGTGATGTTTGCTCTTTTGATTACAGCAATCACTTTTGTGTCTATTTTTTCTTTTAGTAAAATCAGTTGTATGACCTACATAGCAATCTTTTATGTCAGTATTTCTACAAACAAATTTGTAGAAATGAGTTTGTGAGTAGTCTATTGGAACTCTGGGCATTGCCCTATAATATCTTAAAACAACTTATACCTTTAGATGTGTTTTTAAGTAATATGAATTTCTGCTTCCAGTCTCTTCATTAAAATTTTATTTATATCACTCTCTCTTAATTTTACAAATAAAAATGAATAGGGTTCTTCTGTTGCCACTTTGTAAATTTCATATAAAGTTTTCTTATCAACCAATGCTGACTGTTCTTCTATAAAGGTGTCAATTTCTTTCATATTTTTCAACTTGAAAATATATAGTGAAGATGTGTTTAATCTAACTATCGGCGCTAAAGCGTTATACTTCTGTGTTGCTGTGATTACTGATAATCCAAAGTGTCTTGGTTTTGTGTATAAGCCGTGTAGCACCTTTGAATATTTCATAAAAACTCTATCCTCTGCAAAATCATCAATGACTAACAGGCAACTAAATAGTTTATTCATCTTGTTGTTCTTCTGGTATTCAATGACTTTGTGCTGTGTGTCTATGATGTGTTGTAATGCATCTCCATCATACTCATCAAACAAAAACTGCTCTTTTTTATTATCTATTTTTAATTCCTTTGTTATATATTTTATCACTTCTTTGTAGGCTTCATCAATGTGTGCTGTGGGGCTCACTACCCAAATTCTCTCAAAGCAACCCCTGTAGATTTTTAGAATGAGGTTCTGTATTAATATACCCTTACCACCCTGTGATGCTGAGACAATAATACTTCTGAATGGTAGTTTGTCTGCTTGTGGGTATGGCGATTGCTTGAACTCATTGTTTTACATTTATAGGTTCTATTTTAGGAGTGTCTAATTTTGTCATTATATTGATTTAGAAAATAAATATATTTAATAATATTGATGAACTTTATACCGCACAGAAGAGTAACAGAGAAAGAAGCATCAATCCTCATAAGAAGTTAATTAGTTTTCGGAAGCAATAAAAAGATGATACTACGCTACAAGTTTGCCAAGTTGTGTTTTGAATTCAACCTAACTTCAGTTAGGTTCAATGAACTACGTGAATTCGTTTTCAGTGCGTTGCAGTGTTCCATATCCCCTCATACCCCTGAAGTCGTCCCAAAAATAATTAGATTTTAAGAACATATTATCTAATTATTTTAATAATGACACTAAGTGAATATGAAGCATATATGGAAGCAATAGATGATGTTGAAGAAAGAATAAGTGATGATAGTAAATTTCCAGGAATTAAAGATTATAAAATAAAAAGATGTTGTAAGCACACACTGGAACTGACCAAATTTGCATTAGATTTTCTAAAATATAAAATAGATGCCACCAAGAAAGAAAAACAATCTTAAGAAACAACCAATCCCTGAAGATTTTGAGTTGTCTGATGATGAACCGACAACAATTAAATTAGATGAAGAACAAAAATTGACAAGTAAATTTATTATCTTTGATTGTCCTAATTGTTTTACTAAACTACAGTTACAAAATGAAATAGAAATCAATCCAAAGGGGATTAAATGCCGTTGTTCTCCCTGTAGTTTCAAAATTTCAAAAAACGATAAAACAATGAATGTTAAAAAGGATGATGAAGGGGGTATAACATTAGATAGTGAAATTCATAGCATATCATTCAGTTTTAACCGTAGGCAAATAACACCTGAAAGTGAAGATGAAAAGAATAGAAATCAAATGATAAGCGACGTAGTAGGCACACCAAGAAAAAAGAAGCAAATATCTATGGGAGAAATGGATTAAAAGTTTGATAAAAGTTTTAAAATAAAATCTATAGTATTGTATATAGAATGAGTTGTAGTGAGGCAAATGCAAGTGACAAGTCTAAAGACTTCTCAGAGCGAAGCTGTGACGTTAATTTAGAAAAGTTAGATGAATTGACCAATAAACTGAATAGATGTAACAAAAATATTAAACTGGTTTTGGAATTGTTACAGAAGATGAACGAAGCAACTGAAAAGAAAACTCAATCTACTTATATTGCTCCAAATAGTGCCGAATTCAAAAACAAGCGTGCCGTCTATCTAACAAAATTGAATAACAAAGAGATAAAACAACCCAAACAAACAACATTGAAATTTTATGAGATTGAATATGACGAAGACGAAGAAAAATATGTAGATAAATAAATATAGTGAAATCATTAGAATCCCGGAAGAATTAATCTGTGAGATTTTTAGAAAATAATGATAAGATGATTTAAATTATTGTTTTTTTCGCAAGATAATTTAAATTATGTTTTACCACCTATGTTTTTCTACAAATGTCAGAATATTCTGCTGGGAATAGTAAGCCAACCAAGAAGCGAACTGGCCTAGGAACCAAGCAACCGCCCAAATCCTCAGCGTTTTCTTGCTCAAAAAACGAGTAGCTTAAAGCAGATGATGGTGCACACTGGTTTTGTGCCCTAGAGTTCAACACCTTGCATGTAAGAAATCCTTTCGTAGATCTGTTCTTTCAAATAAATGAACAGTGTTGCATCTCAAGTCCTCACGTAAGGTCACAAAGAGTGATGCATCACCTTTCCGCCTAATTATCGGCATGAGTAGAAGCACTGTCATTTCTGTTTACTTGTCTGGGACGTGGTGTCGTGTCCTGATTGTGCAATGGCAGACACTCCATCAACGAAGCGGAAGTTTCCGTCGGAGTGGTTTCAGGACAAGCTTGAGGCGATACAAGATGTGGAAATGCCTGACAGTGCAAAAAAGGATTTGGCAAGTGAATTTTCCAAATTTCCTGCTCACCAACTGGGCGATTCCGATCTCAACGACTTGGTTGGCCTTATTCCAGCAGAAATTTCACATGCACGTAAGATTGTAGCCATGCACCTGAAACACCACATTCGCAAAGAGCTGCAGGCCGGACCTTGGTCAGTCAATGACATCCTGTTTTCGTTTTTTTGTTTTACTCATAAACTTCCCCCATAGGCTTTTTTGAATTTCTCACTTATTAGGTGTAGGGTTTGGCTCTTTGGTTGTAGCGTAGTGGTTTACTCCCCCTATAGGTTTGGTGCCCTCGTAGGGTGTTCCGATAGGGTTGGTTGATTGGGTTGCTTAGTTGGGTTTAGGGTGTGTTTTTCTTGTTTTGGGCAAGGCTGAAGCATCTGGTTCAACGACAGCATTGCCGAAACCCACGGAGGCGGAGGTCGAACTGCCCGAGTTGGCGGCACTGGAGATGAACAAACTTTTGGATGTTTCAGGTTTCACGAAATTGTGCCTTGGATGGTTTTAGCGTCCCTTTTTTGGGGGTTGTGTTTCTTTGTTGTTTTTCAGTTGTTGTTTGACGACGGCTAAGGTTGGCATCAAACACAGAGGCGACCCGACCCATTTTCCTGCGCAAACATTTGCTCGATGTGCGCGATGTGGCTGTGGATGTTTTGTCCGCTCCGGTTCAAGAGGATGCCAAGCGTTTGGTCTCCTTGGTGGGATGTCCCGGAACTGGCAAGACGTGGTGCGGTTGGTTGGTTGCCCATGCCTTACAGAACAAGGAAAAGAAGACACTGCATGTCACCATCAGAGGCAAGGAGGTGATAGTGGTGTCCGAGTTCAAGAAGAAGAAGACGTATGAAGTTGATGATTGGAAATACAGCATGTTGGGGCAAGTCCTGAACGAGAACCCGTGCGATGTTTGCATCATTGATGTGGGGGACAAGAACCCCACCGAATCCAATGACATTTTTTGTGGCGTCCGCACCATTTTGGAAAGCAGTGCTGACCCGAAGCCCTTCCCGAATGTCAAGTTCATGTGCTTGGTTTCTGGACACGCGCAGGAGAATATCATAGGCAAAGACAGAAGCATTGCTGCTCAGAAGCTTGTCTTGTGGAGTTGGTCCGAAGATGATTTTCAATCTTATTTTGAGGCAAGTCAGGGTAGTGCGAACCAGCTGAAAGAGCACACCTACAGGATTTGCGGTGGTTCGGTTCGCTTGTGGTTCAATCCCGCACTGGACGAGGCTAACATTTCTGATGACGTGAAGCAACTGGAAGAGCAAGAAATGCAGAGATTTCTGACACCAGATCATCGCCCCACCTCCAACACAAATGGCCACCAGCACTCGCGACTGCTGGCTTTCTTCCGCAGTCCCAAGTCCATGAATGAGGGAAACGATGACTTCACCAGTGGTGTTGGGTCTGCTTACATCGTGCCACGCTCAGACTATGTCATTCGAAGCATCAAGGCGCATGAGAAGGGCAGTTTCTCTCAATTCAAGAAGATGTATGAGAGGCTGTTGCCTCTGAACCCGGGCGCCGCAGGAACGCCGTTTGAGATTCTCGTGCATTACTTCTGGGAGGAGTGCATCAACAAGAAGGACAACATCCAGTTGAAGATCACCGATCAACACGGATTGGAGAAGCGCACCATCATGGTGGACTGTTCCCTGTTGAAGCCCGTGGCTGAATGTAAGCCTGTTGAGAGTTGGGACGACAAAGGCAAAGACGCTGTAGATGCGAACCTGTTGGGGTATTTTACTCCAAAAAACAAGAAGAATTACCCCAGACTGGACAGCATTTTGCGCTACAAGAGTGCTGAGCAGACAGAGGTTCTCGCAATCCAGGTGAGCATCGGGGCGACTCACCAGTATGGAGACAAGCGCAAAAATGCGCTGCTCGAAGCAGGAGGGAAGACATCACTAGCATTGTGGGATCACCGCGACAAAGACAGGAAGTGTGTGTGGAAAAGCCACGAGTCCGATGATTGGGACTTGGTTTATGTCCGCTGTAGAGAGTTCGATGACAAGATGAGGCAAAGTTGAAGACTTGCCGTTGCTCACAGGACAGGAGCGACAGCTGACAAAGGCTGAGCGTCCACATCGGAGCAACCCTTGACCCTTCCTATGGTTTTTGGTTGGAATGGGGTTGTTGATTGTTTTTTTCGATGATAATTTTGGTGAATAATTATGATGATAAAATGAATAAGGGGGCATGATGCTAGGTTCGTTGCTATGAAACTATGATAATGAAGATGATGAAGATGATAGATGATGATAGATGAGATGAAAATGAATATGGATGAGAAGATGGATGATGATATGATGAATGAAAATGATGTGATGAAAAATGAATATGGATGGAAAAATATTGGAACATAAAATGGAAATTAAATTGGAACAATGAAAAATGAAGATGGATGAGAATATGAATGGAAAAATGATTGATGATATGGTGGAAATGGGTGATGAATGGAAAATATGATGGTGAAAAATGATGGAACATGAAATGGATATGGTGGATGATATATGATGTGGTAAAATTGAAGCAACGAACCTAGCATCATGCCTACTCACTACTTATATCTATCTCTATATCTATATCTGTATCTATATCTATCTCTATCTCTATCTCTATCTATCTATCTATCTATCTCTCTCTCTCTATCTATCTACCTATCTATCTATCTATCTATCTCTCTCTCTCTCTCTATCTATCTATCTATCTATCTATCTATATCTATCTATCTATATCTATCTATCTATCTATCTATCTATATCTATATCTACGTACATGCCGATATACATCGAAAAAATGAATTGTAAATTGGCAGGTGAAAACTTGGAGGCATTGAATTGAATGATGCGCTGGTTGCTCAAGCGTCCGGTCGGGAACTGGATTTTGTTAGACGCTCCCAGGTGGCCCTTAGACAAGCCACATGCCATGGCCAAAGCGAAACAGTGGTGCAGGACAGAAATCTCTAGACTGACGAGGCTCATAGTTTTTCTTCCATTTCTGGGTCTTTTCAGGTTCTCTTCACAGGCCTTCCAGGCCTTCACACCAAGACAGATCGGTTGCTCCCTCCGGCGCGCGCCAACGCGCAGCGCAAGACTAGCTGGTCGGCCCTCACAACTGTACAAGCAGCACAGTGAGGATTTTCTGGCAACCGAAGGGGAAAGGATCTACAGTGATGTGGATGCTGCATCTGTCAAGGTTTCAAGAGAAGAGGATGGCTATGCCTTTGATGAGTCGGTCTTCAGCGATGAGGATAAGCCAGAAGACATTGGACCTGTTCATTACTATGGCGTCACCGATGCAGGCTGGGAAGCTGGCCCAAACTCGAAAAACTAAGGAGAATGATGGAGAATGTCAATCCTCAGCCATGTGTTTTGGATTGTTTTGGGATGTGTTTTCTTAAATGTCAAATTTTGTTCCACCTCCCATTTTCCACCATGTTCTCATAGTTCAATTTCAACGTTTCCCGGGGAAAAAAAAATAAAAGGTGCCCCAATCACAGCTGATGTCTCGCCGATGGCGCTGGCTCAGGTGGCATCCCCATTCTCATCACACCAGGCGAGGCCGAGATGGCCGAGGCAGATCGGCTCTACCCAGGCGATGTGGTGGCTGCACAGGTGGGACCCGACTTGTGGGGTGGTACCATCCTGTACCATTTTGTGGTCACTACGGGGTTTGACGTTCACCCAGAAGTGGAGGAATCGCGAGGGTTTCGATCAGAACAAAATGGTAATGGTTAACGTGATTTTCCCAAACAAAATAGGAAGGAACTCGCGAGAATGCTGACTTACATGACCCCAACTGGGGGGACCGAACTTGAACACCAGAAAATGACCCTGCCAATTTAACGCAGGTGCCTCCCAATGGCACGGTGGCGCGCTTGCTGGATGGCCGTGGATGGCTGGACTTGGAGCAGTTGGGTGAAACCTTTGAAGAGGTTCAACCTTGGGTAGCCTTTCTGAGTTGATGGGATGGGGATGGTCACTATAGGTTGTTTCTTTAAGACAACTCGGGGAAAACCTGGGGCCGATTTCTTTCCAGAATTTTGCGGGGCGTCCTGCGATTTGCTCCCGAACAAATGTTTTGAGATGGTGTGGGAGGTTGCATCGCGCAAATTGGAGGCGATTAGCCATGATTAGCCATGATTAGCCAACGGATAACCAACGATTGCCACGGAAAGATTTGGGGGGGGCAAGCTGCTTTTTGTGCTTTTGGGGTGCCGCTCTCCGTGTGAGCATCCTGCACAGTACAGTAATGAACATTTTTTTGTTGGCCTTGATCTTAAGCGACGTTGTATAATATTGAAGTAACTATCTGTAACTGCATTCATGGCACGAGAATACTCTGCTGAAAATCAATAAAAACCATGCCGCATGACACATGGAAGCACAAAGTAAGGGTGTTGGGACATGCTTTTCCCATCGAAAATTGCTCACTTCGAAATTTGCTGTGAACATTAGGGGTGCACTTCGGGCCCTAGCAATGCCATGGAGAACCTCAGCCGAGGCTGCCAAGATCATGAAAAAGCCGGGCATCACCAAAGCCGACGCTGCGTCACTGGGATATCTGTCACTGGATGATTCAAAGCTCACCCCGTTGGCGCAGCATTTGCCGCTTCCCAATCGGGTGGTGTCGCAGTTGTACAAACGTGGGGTAAAGAAGGCATCCCCCATCCAGGAAGCAGTGTTTTCAGACATCTATCGTGGCAAGAGCTTATGTTTGCAAAGCCAGACTGGAACTGGAAAGACCTTAGCCATGGTACTTCCTTTGCTGACCGCCATGTCGGAAGAATCGCAGTGGGGTCGAGATGGAGACAAGATTGTGGTCATTACATCCTGCCGAGAATTAGCTGTGCAACTCTTTTCCGACATCGACAGCATGGGATTTTTCCCTAAGGGCCAGGGCTTCGCAACGATGGTGATTGTGGGCAACGTTCCCCCATCCGAAGCCGTGCTGAACGCCAACGTCATCATTGGCACACCCAATGAGTTGGGTGGACTGCTGCACAAGGATAATGAGATTGTAAGGCAGATGAATACCAAGTTAAGAGGCATCATCCTGGATGAGGCGAGGCCTTGGCAAATTTGGCAAAATATCCCTTGAAAAATCGGGTGTGTGGGCGTGCTTCTGCATGTGTTTCAAGGTGGTTTTCGAACACTCAGAGCAGATGGGTGTGTGACTGATGATTCTTCCCTCATTATTTTCTGGCTAGGATCATGTGCAGACTCAATGGACTATTGCCACCCCTGGAGGTCGATGAATATACCACAGCTCCAAGGTTGTTTGCCTCCAAATGGGCTATTAAGAAGAAGCGAAGGATCTACAACGAGAAGAAAGCGGTCTTGTCGGGGAGGCTAGGTGACTTCAACACAGGACTGGAGACCGTGTGTGTGTGTGTGTCGACATTTAGGTGGGTTGCCGTTCACGAAATGGTGGAACCCGCGCGGTGTTAGTAAAGTAGTTTGAGAACCACTGACTAACTGACTGGTGATTTTGTAGTGTTCACCAGCCCAAGCATATTGTTCGGATAGTAAGCAACAAAATGGGAGCGTTGACAACTGCAAGTGTTCAATCAAGAATAGTCTACAAACATAATTACTCCTGATCATTACTGAACCAGACTTACCACGGAAATTTGGCTAATTAAGATTAATTAAGTACTTTCTTGGGATTTCTTGGCGACTGAAGGAGTTATTGAATGGTTCCTCAAGAGATCCTTGGCCTATTCCAGACGCCGTGACTTACAAGTCCTCGCAGCTTCGGCCACCATGAACCGGGACATGGCTCGAAAGGTGCACCGCTTGCTGCGCTGGGATCCCTTGGGACGGTGGTATCAGAATCCGCCCCCCTTGATGCGGCCCCTGGCCATGATGAAGGCTGAATGGCAAGCCGTGCCGCTGATGCCAACAGTGCCACTGGATCTGAAGCATCGCTATATTCCAGTGATTCCAGGTGGCATCTCAAAGGGTGACCCAAATGGCAGTTGTAGTGGAGGAAAAGGATGAGGGATCATGATAATTAAAACCCGGGTTTTAAGAGAAAATGTGGTGTGCGTTGCTGACTTACAATTCGACGACGCATGGGCTTGATAAAGGGATTGGAATGCCAAGAGTCAGATGCCGGTTCATGGTGTACTTGAGCAAGGCCCCCCAACACATCAGTTAATGGTGTCTCAGTTGCGCCGGTTATTTGCCACACATCACTTTGATTGATATATCAAGCAAACATGTTGGTACCACGGTTGATGCTTCCAGACCACTTCAGGGATTCCCATCTTTGCTGGGCAGGTAGGACTGACACCCGGATCAGCGAGAAGCATTGGATGCGCAAGCCCTACGACCAGGGTGGCCTGCCGAGATTGAAAGTTAGAGGCATCAATCAGCGGCGAGGGATGGGGCAGCGCCCCATGTCGTTGCCAAAGGCCAACGCCATTCTGGATAGCTTCTGGGTTGAATTAAGCTGGATGGGTGTCCGAAAAGACATGTGGCACCCTGAAAATTCGAACCAAAACTGGTGGTGGACTTAGAATGACTTAGACTTGCTGGTGGGGTTTTAGGTCGTTCCCAAGTCTTGCACTCGGTCTTGAGATCGTATGAGTACTATTGAATATGTTGCTTCTCAGACCCTGATGATGGATGACGGACCCTCTACCCCCAAGGTCCCTAAGCCTTCTTTGCATGTTTTGCCCCTGGCCACACCCAGCAGGTCTGCATGATGCCTTGAAATCCCGGCAGCAGGGCAGTGGATCTTCCCTGGTGATCATTTGCCGTAGCGTGGGGTTGACCGTTCGAGAGGCACTGCAGAACCTGCACGGCTGGGGCTTTCATGAGGCGGAAGCCATCCATGAGGCCCTGTGGACAGATCCGGAGGATTGGCCAAGTCGCTGGGCCATGAAGTACACCTATGATCAACAGGATCATGCCTCCGAAATTGCCGAAAAACATCAGCAGTTGAACCAAAGGACCAGGAATGGCCAACCTTTGGAATATCCCGTTGGGAGCAATGAGTGGAGAGAACTGGAAGCTCGCAAGGAGCAAGGTGAGTCAGTAGCTCCAGTGCTTATTGGTTTTGAAGGCCTTGGAAGAGGCATCCATTTTGATGGAGTTGACACCGTCTACATCCTAGGCTTGCCGCAGAAGCCCAAGGCATACCTCCACTATGCTGGAAGGGTGGGCAGGTTGGGTCAGAAGGCTGGAAAGGTGGTTTCCATCATCCCTGCAGCAGGTGAAAACGTGCTGAATGGTTGGTCCAGTGACTGGGCGCCATTGGATTAGTTAACCCCAACCACCTGGGGCTGTAACATGTTGAAATGGGATAAATGATTTCAATATTCCGGGACCGGGAATTCGTTTTTTCGCACATCAAATTGCCTTTTTGACAAGCAGATCGATCAACATTGGGTAAGTCATGGTAAGTCAGTTGTCCCCCCTATATATATATAATTATATATATATGATATATGTATATATACAATTATATATATATGATATATATATATATACAATTATATACACTTACGTACATACACATTTTGATACGCATAATTGACCAAAACTCACTGTAAGCCTAAGCTTTATTAGTTCTGGTGGCTAACTCAACTCACACATATGTTAATCGACATTTTTCCCGATAAGATTCAATCCCATTGCCACAGGCAAGATCGGTCCTGGCGTCCAGTTCCGGGAGGAAAAGATCCAGCGGATCCTTAGCTCCAGGGTGTCGAGGGAGAAGTCCTATCGATTGCCATTGGAAACGCGGAGAAGTTTCCTGGAGATGACTTCCCCCATTGGTTGATCCATTGATTCATCCGTGTTTTTTGATCCACCAGAAATGGGGAATCTATGGGAATCCACTGAAAAGTGTTGTAGTTTGAAGTTTGGTTATTGTTTGTGCCCCCTTGAGCTTAAATCTAAGGTTTGCAGAAGGAGGAAACTGAGGCTGACGAAAAAGAACCGCTCTTACTACCTGAGCCTGAGGATCCTTTCAGACTTCCCAGCTTGGATGATGAGGATGAGGAGGATGTCTTCGAAGACTTCGAGCCTGAGCCTGTTCAAATTCCCGAGAAGGTCAGGGAAGCGATGCGCAACCGCGGCAGCAGCGGAGAGGTGGTGGTGAAGAAAATGGCACAAGAGATGCAGAGAGCAACATCTAGATGGCCGGGTCCACAGGCTGTACCTCGCTATGTAAGCCGCAAAGAAATCGTGAAGCAGGAGAAGGCTGAAAAGGCCAAGGCAAAGTCCAAAGGAAAGGCATGAGATCCAATGGCAGTCTCACCAAAAAATTGAAAAATTACCATAAATAAAATCAAATAAAAAACATACAACATCAACATCATTGATACAAATAACAAATGTAGAGATAGCACCAAATTAGATAATCATGAAAGATAGCTGGATTTAGCAAGGGGAGGAGGTCTGAGTCCAACACTGTAAATTTAGAAAATTCGAACTCCTCCGCCCAATTCAATTCCCGGTACATCCCTGCCAAATCTCCAGCCCATCATCTCTCTATATCTCTCTATATTTATATGAATCTTGGCTTTTGTTCACCCCCCTAGATTTAAAATTGTTTTGAATAAAGATAATATAAATATAAATAATTATAAAAAATATATAAATATATATAATTATTTATAATTTATAATTATATATTTGAAGAATTTTCCATATATATATATTAGGAAATTATTGAATACGTTTTATGTATTTTATATATATTTAAAAAAATCATAAAACCTTGATAGGAATATATATATATATATTTGATGAATTTTTTTTCTTGCTTTTACGGTATGTTCTATATATCTTATGGAATATTTTATATACAAGGAGGGCCCTTAATGAAGAGGGCTGAAATTAGCGTCCGTTAGCGACCCTAAATTCAGACCTTTTGCACACACAGCACGAGGCCCCACGTATAGGGTTAAAGCAGCGGCTCCCCCCCCCGCACCCCTAGGATCAATGTTGTTTCCTGGTGTTAATCACTGCAGCAGCCAACTTCCAAAGCGTCAGGTCTTCACAACAAGACATTTTCGTCAACCTTGATTCCGGGGGGTGCAGGGGGGGGCCAACATGTGGCCGGAAAGGCCCTTTGAATAGGAAGAAACACATGTGCCGTCACTGCAGGTGGCACATCACAGCTGCAAGATGAAATGGCAGTGATCAATGGCGATGTCAATCTTTGCATTGGCTCCACTGCAACACTAGCATTCTTCGGTGTGAAACTACTAAGCACAATGTCACAACTTTATATTGGCTCTGCCGCAAAACTACTATGCTTCTGTATGAAAACTACTAAGGGGAATTTCAAATTTTGTATTGGCTCGGTGGCAAAACTACTAAGGAATTGTTCAATGGACAAAAATGGAAACACTTTCTTCTATTTCTTTTCAATTGGCAGAAAGCCTTGGTAGTTTTGCGTCCAAGCCATTGTGATTTCAATTTCACGGGTTAGTAGTTTTTCATGCGTGCATGAGCTGTGACTCTGCCGTGCCAATACAAAGTCTGCGAAAATGGTTGGAAGTATCCTTAGTAGTTTTTTGGGACCACAGCAAAAACAGGTGCCAAAGTACGCAAAAACGTGTTTTTGATGCCTTGGGAGACAGCAGTCGTTAGGTAACCTGCCGCGTGTGGCTTCACCACATTCCTGTCTGACTCCTTTAGAGACAGCAGTCTCAAGTGCTTTAGTGAGACATATAGTTTTGAGGAAGCTGCTGCTGACTCCTCGGGAGACAGCAGTTACAAGTGCTTCAGTGAGACATATAGTTTTGAAGAAGCTGCTGCTGCTGACGGGTCATTTTGAAGGCCAGGAGCCACGAGAGGTCTTGGGTGCTCAGTTTGCCCGCCGATTTCAGGACTCTGCGTCGTTTTTTCTCCCGGCGCAGAGCTGAAACAAAAAGATTGAAAGTACAAGTGGTGCGATGCAGGTGCAATGCAGCTTCACCAAAAAAAACCTGAGATGGGAAAGATGAAGGTGCAAGTGGCACGATGGAATGTCAATACAGCTTCACCAACACAAACATGGCACACAAGGATGAAATTGAACCAGCCTGGGCCTTGACTTCTCGACTGGTTTGCTGCAGCTGGCGTTTCAAGGCCTGCCTTTCAGCTTTCAAAGCAGCTATACGGTCATCCATCCCGGGCACATGGGCTACAGCAGCACCTTCCGCAGCATCCCTTTCCATACCAGCGGCGGCAGACGACATGGCTATAGATATAGTCAAATTGTGTTTTCTGCGACGAGCTGTGAGCAGTGCTAGCTGCAGAAGCCATGCCGTCTGGACAGCTTCCACGCCAATTTTCTCAAACTGCACAACTGGAAGATAGTATGACAAAACATGGCCGGTGGGGGCCCAAAACTGGGGGCTTGAAAAGTGATGCCAAAGGGACTCCCGTACCATGTACCCCCATAGTATTATGGAAAAAAAAACTTTGTCCTATAGTACCACCCACGTCTGCAAATCTTTTGGATCCACCCGGAGCGGCAGCATCAAAGAAAAAGAGCCTTATACGCGTGCGCCATTTGGCGTCGCGCTGGCCAAACGCACTGCATCTGCTGGGGTGTCGGCCTGTTAGGCCCAGGCCAAGGCACCCCTGCACCCATCAAGTGTTGAAGCGCTTTGTGCACTTGACCTGGGCCATTGCAGCCCACTGCATCGAAGCTTTTCTGCCATTGCCGAGCTGCCCAAAATTCGTGTGGGGCTTGCATGCACTGCCATAGCAAGGCCAGAGGAGGGACTAAACCATGCTCTAAATATGAGCGCAACTCCTGGTGCTTCCTTTTCAAATATTGTTTAAAAGGGGAGAAGCCTTGCAGATCAAGCGGTTGTAGGTAATCCGTTGTCTGCGCTGGGATATATACAAGCTGCAGCTTGCACTTGCGTGCCATTGCCATGACCTGCCGTGGCAGGTGTGCCGGCGCACAATCAAGGAGTACAACGCCTTGTTTTGACGGAAAACTTTTCAGCACTTCTGCGATCTCTTTGAGAATTTGGGCGCTGTTGGCAGCAGAGGTCCAAGCGGACTTTTGCCGCAAAACACGCATGCGAGTTTGTGGCAAAGCGCGCTGGGCGCGCAAGAGCTTCTTCGTAAGTTTCACCTGGGTGCCAATGAGAAAATGAGGCAACTTCCCTTGGATGTGCTTGCAGTTGCAAATCACGCTGACATAAGTCCACGCACCTCGAACATGTTGCTTCAGCACCTGTGCATGCGGCTATTTGCCACCTGCTGTCCGTGGCTTTGCCACACATCCAATAGGCGGTGTCATGGTGTGGCCGACGCTAGTCTCGTCCAGATTTATAAAAAGCAGCTCCCTGTCCGCGAACCTGCTGTGGCAATAGCAGATGGGCCGCCAAAATGTCATGACCTGCTCGAGCGCTGCAGGAAGTGAAAGACAAAGCCTTATTATATATAGGGTCCCCAAATATAATTCCGAGGGAAGAAATTGATTGAAAATGGGGGCCTATTTTTGGTGCCAGATTCTGGCCCCAAAAATGGGACCGCCCAACCGGGATTAAGTAGGCTTATACAGGCATGAAACATGATGGGGACCCATTTTTGGGGCCACATTCCGGCCCCAAAAATGGAGCCACCCAACCCAAAAAAGAAGACAAAATGTTGTAAGTTGGCTGGCCCGCGCCTTGTCGCGCAGTACAGCGGGGTCTCTGCTAACAACTTGCTTCAGCACCTTCCGGCGGACGCCCTACCGAGCCCGCCAGCGCTGCACCCACTTATTGACCATGCGTTTGTTTGGCACACCCATGTCCAGCTTCTGGCCATGGAAGGCCTCCTCCCACTTCAAAAATGTGTCCATCGCAGAAGGTGCTTGACCATGATTCGTATTGCAGTCATAGACCCACTGCTCCGTGGCTGCTTCGGCCAGGAAGGCTTGCGCTTTGCGTGAAGCTGTGTCATCCAAAGCGGTCAGATCTGGCAGCGGCATCGTCAGCAACATCTCTTGGATCAAAGCTGCCATCGGGTACCCATTGCTGCCATAGGATATCGTTGTTAAAGCACAAGCCATGCGGAGAGTCAAATCCATGTTAAAATTCGACAGCATGTAAACAGCTACCACAGTTTTGCGGGCTGCCACTCCAAGGCCGGCACAATGCAACCTTTTCCGTTTTTTGGCATTCTGCCGATAGGCCGCTTTCAGTGCTTTACCATTCTGCACCAAGGCTTCCTTCAAGTCTGACACCCTGGCATCAGATGTGCCTTCGGCCACACCACAGGGCGGCTGCATGACTGACCGCAGAAAAACTATCTGTCGGCAGACTCATTGAAAACATTCGTGTTATGTCAAACCAATCCTGTCTGATACAGCTGAATTCGAATGGAAGCAAGGAAGATGACCTAATGAGTGCGGCCAAAGCATGGCCTCGGCATTTCAAAGCATACAAATTCATGTCTGGCTCAAACAAAAACTATATTGCTGTTGCATGCAGTCAGCGCGGCAAGACTTGATTCATATGGCTGTGTCCAGGGAAAAACATCGAAGAGAGGCGACCTGTGAGGAGCAGGCAAGACCGAACAAGGATGATGAGCCGTCCAATCATGTGGGTTTGTGTTATGACACTGTTATGGAAAAGACACTGCTGGTTATCTCTCTACATCATGCAGGTTTGTGTTGTCACAAGGAGGGCCCTCAATGAAGAGGGCTGAAATCAGCGTCCGTTAGCGACCCCAAAGTCAGACCTTTTGCACACACAGCACGAGGCCCCACGTATAGGGTCAAAGCAGCGGCTCCCCCCCCGCACCCCCAGGATCAATGTTGTTTCCTGGTGTTAATCACTGCAGCAGCCAACTTCCAAAGCGTCAGGTCTTCACAGCAAGACATTTTCGTCAACCTTGATTCCGGGGGGTGCAGGGGGGGGCCAACATGTGGCCGGAAAGGCCCTTTGAATAGGAAGAAACACATATGCCGTCACTGCAGGTGGCACATCACAGCTGCAAGATGAAATGACAATGATCAATGGCGATGTCAATCTTTGCATTGGCTCCACTGCAACACTAGCATGCTTCGGTGTGAAACTACTAAGCACAATGTCACAACTTTATATTGGCTCTGCCACAAAACTACTATGCTTCTGTGTGAAAACTACTAAGGGGAATTTCAAACTTTGTATTGGCTCGGTGGCAAAACTACTAAGGAATTGTTCAATGGACAAAAATGGAAATATTTTCTTCTATTTTTTTTCAATTGGCAAAAATCCTTGGTAGTTTTGCGTCCAAGCCATTGTGATTTCAATTTCACGGGTTAGTAGTTTTTCATACGTGCATGAGCTGTGACTCTGCCGTGCCAATACAAAGTCTGCGAAAATGGTTGGAAGTATCCTTAGTAGTTTTTTGGGGCCACAGCAAAAACAGGTGCCAAAGCACGCAAAAACGTGTTTTTGATGCCTTGGAAGACAGCAGTCGTTAGGTAACCTGCCGCGTGTGGCTTCACCACATTCCTGTCTGACTCCTTTAGAGACAGCAGTCTCAAGTGCTTCAGTGAGATATATAATTTTGAGGAAGCTGCTGCTGACTCCTCGGGAGACAGCAGTCACAAGTGCTTCAGTGAGACATATAGTTTTGAAGAAGCTGCTGCTGCTGACGGGTCATTTTGAAGGCCAGGAGCCACGAGAGGTCTTGGGTGCTCAGTTTGCCCGCCGATTTCAGGACTCTGCGTCGTTTTTTCTCCCGGCGTAGAGCTGAAACAAAAAGATTGAAAGTACAAGTGGTGCGATGCAGGTGCAATGCAGCTTCACCAAAAAAAACCTGAGATGGGAAAGATGAAGGTGCAAGTGGCATGATGGAATGTCAATACAGCTTCACCAACACAAACAT